AAAACAACATTTATATGCATCAAAATAGAGTCATAAAACTGAGTTATGCAGTAAACAAGTATAACCATGACTGAGTATAGATTTTTAATCGAAAACACTGAGAGGATAGTAAGAAAAGGCCCCTAAGGGTCCAAACAGCACTGGCACAAGGCCCAAACATGGCATTCAACCCAATTTACAGAAACTCTTTCTAAAACATATAAGTATCATATAATTTCCACAAAATATGCAACTTTACAATTGCTACGGGACAGACCAAGTCACAATCCCCAACAGTGTACGCCCACACGCCCGTCACCTAGCATGTGCGTCACCTCAAAATAGTAGATTGATACAAATATCAGGGGTTTCATACCCTCAGAACTAGATTTAAAATCGTTACTTACCTCAAACCGATCAAATCTCTACCCTGCAATGCTCTTGCCTCTGGAATCGGCCTCCAAATGCTCCGAATCTATTCAAAATCAGTACAATACTATCTATACGCGCTAATGGAATGAATCCCAAAAGAAAAGCTAGAAAATTAGACCAAAACCAGAAATTGGCTCAAACCCGCCCCCAGGCCCACGTCTTGAAATCTGACAAAATTTACAAAACTAAAAATCCCATTTACTCACGAGTCTAACCATACCAAATTCATCAAAATCCGACATCGTTTGTTCCTTCAAATCCTTAAATTACTTCTCCAAAAATCCTAAGCCCTAACCCCTCATTTTCACTAATTACATGATTAAACAACGGGAAATCACCATCTGTACGAGTATTAGGGCTCAAGTAACTTACCTCAATGAAAACCCCCTTGATTCCCTCTTCAAATCTCTCCCAAAAGCTCCAAAACCGAATAGAAATGGTGAAGAATGCACCAAAATTTGCAAAGTGTGCAATATGTACCTTCTGCCTAGGCTTCTCGCACCTACGGCCTTTTACTCGCACCCGTGCAACCGCACCTGCGGTCCCAATAACTGCACCTGTGCAAGTCACTTAACGCCCAGGTTCTGCATCTGTGGCAAACCTGTCGCACCTGCGTTTGCGCACCTGCTCGTGGTGCGCCGTATCTGCGAAGCCAGCCTTCTTCCTTCCTTCCGCATCTGCACCCCAGGTCTCGCACCTGCGGGCTCGCAGATGCAATAGCCTTCTTACACATATGCATCCTGCCTAGCCCAGCATTGCCCGCACCTGCAAACTCCCATGCATACCAGCGGCACCGCACCTGCGATCCTTCCTTCCGCAGGTGCGGAAATAGCAGAAGCAGCAGCTTCAGCTGCATCTTCCAATTTCGACAAATCTGTTAACCACTCGGAATCACCCCGAGGCCCTCGAGTCCTCAACCAAAAATACCAACAAGTTATATATCAACATACAAACTTCATCGAACCTTCGAATCACTCAAAACAACATCCAAATACCAAATTACCCTCGGATTCAAGCCTAAGAACTTCTAAATTTTCAAATTCGGCAACCGATGGCGAAACTAACCAAACCACGCCCGAATGACCTCAAATTTTGTACACACATCGCAAATGACACTTCGAACCTACTCAAACTTCCGAAATTCCATTCCGACCCCGATATCAAATTTTCCACTGCCGACTGAAATCGCCAAATCTTCTAATTTCGCCAATTCAAGCCTAATTCTACCACGAACCTCCAAATCACATTCCGAATGCACTATTAAGTCCAAAATCACATAACGGAGTTAACGGAACCATCAAAATTCAAATATGAGATCGTTTATACATAGATCAACATCCGGTTGACTTTTTCAGGTTAGGTTTCTACTTAAGAGACAAAATGTCTCAATTCACTCTGAAATCACTCCGGTCCCGAACCAACTAACTCGATATAACATAATATAGCTGAATAACACAAAAAGTAGTTGAAATGGGGAAAACAGGGCTATAACTCTCACAACGACCGGCCGGGTCGTTACATCCTCCCTCTCTTAAACAACCGTTCGTCCTAGAACGGGTCTAGAAACATAGCTGGAGTCTCGAATAGGCGTAGATATCTGCTCCGCATCTCCCGATCGGTCTCCCAGGTGGCCTCCTCCACAGGCTGACCTCTCCACTGCACCTTCACCGAAGCTATATTCTTTGACCTCAACTTCTGAATTTGCGGATCCAAAATGGCCACCGGCTCCACATCAAAAGTCATATCACCCTCCAACTGAACCGTGCTGAAGTCCAAAACATGGGATGGATCAACAACATACTTCCAGAGCATGGAAACATGAAACACTGTATGCACACTCGACAAGCTGGGTGGCAAGGCAAGCTTATAAGCCACCTCCCCTATCCTCTGAAGCACCTCAAAAGGCCCAATGAATCGGGGGCTAAACTTGCCTGCTTCCCAAACCTCATAGCACCCTTCATGGGTGATACCTTCAGCAAAACCTTCTCCTCAACCATAAAAGACACATCACGGACCTTCCTATCCGCGTAGCTCTTCTGCCTAGACTACGCTGTGCGAAGCCGCTCTTGAATCAATTTCACCTTATCTAATGCACCCTGGACCAAGTCTGTACCTAAGAGACTAGCCTCACCTGGATCAAACCATCCTACCAGAGATCTATACCTCCTCCCATATAAAGCCTCGTACGGAGCCATCTAAATACTCGACTGATAACT